TGGCTCACTTATCAGTGCATCTCACCTCCTACCCAAACATTAGCTTAAAATGAGAGAGAGAGAGATGGGAGAGAGATGAGATGAGACAAAGAGAAACAGATAGAGAGAGATTGATTTGCTCTGAAAAAGCAGATCAATTTATGTATTCCTGGTTAGGAAGCCAGATGTGTGTAGAGCTAGAAGGAAAAACTGGATAAGTTTTGGTGTTTAGTCTGCCAGGTCTATTTAAAGTGGATTCACTGGAGGCCCAAAGCTGAGCATTCAAAGTAGGACTAATATCTACCACTTAGTGCAGGTAATGCCTTCCAGACATTAACGAATTATTTCATGTGGCACCCTAGCGAGAAGTAGGTAAGTATTGTCATATCTACTTTATAAATTAACAGGCCTAAAGAGATTAAGGCTGCTCCAATTTTGGGACTTTGCCCAATAAGCTGCTGCCTTATCTGCCACCTTTGTGCTCAGTGGATCTTTAGGCTGGCCGTCAGTCTTCATGTGTTCGTCTGTACATTCACTTCCTCATTCATCAAACATCTGTTGAGCAGTGCTAGGCTGCATGGAGGATGCTGAAATGAACAAGGCATAGTCTATCCTCAAAAAAGGATCATTCTTATAGGGGTTAAATCTTAAATCCCATCAGAAGGCAGGCAGATTATATAGATGTGTGACCTGGCAGGGATAAGACAGTAGGGAGTGAGGAGAACTGTGGCAAACTGGAGGTTTGCCTGCCCCATCTATTTATTATAACATGATGCCTGCCCCAAACAAACCTGTCTATGATTAGGATTCAACAAAGGCAGCTAGTTTGCAAGACTTTCGGGAGGAGGAAGAACATAACTTGCTATAGTGCAGTGTGGTACATACTGTAATAGAAGGAATGGAAGCACAGAGAGGAGAGCTATTCCTTATGTCAGGAGGACAGAGGAAGGGTGTCAGGAGTAGACAGAAGAGCACCCAAGGGTGAGGTGGGAGGGCTCTAAAGACAGATTTGCAACTGTAAGATCTTAGAGTTTGAAGCCAAGTGGAGGCCCAGCCCATGTTTGGATGCCTCCAGTGAAGGGAAATTCAGTACCTAGAGAACTCACCCCTTTAGTAGATGAGGGGGAAGCAGCAAGCTGGTGGAGACTACCATAGGCTTGGAATCAACCTGTCTGGGTTTGAATCCAAGATTCTACCACTTACTAGCCCTATAACCTTGAGGGAAGTTATTTAACCTCTCTGTACCTCAGTTTCCTCACCTGTACATGGTGATAATAATAAAATTGTTGCAAGGATGGGATGCAGACAAAAAGCTCAGCACAGTCTTGACACACAGGAACACTCAGCTAGAGTCCTTCCAAGACAATCAGAGCTGAGTGAGGCTTTGGAATTGAACAGGGCTCCCCAAATAGTGATAAACTGCTGAACCCCCAAAAGAGACCATCACAGCAGAGTGAACAAAGTCTTTATGAAATAGGTAGTCTCCTGCCTATTAGAAAGGGAAGGGACCAAAGATCATCTTTGATGCTTTCATGGGTATTAGCCACTGTATGGCTTTGATGTGCCCTGGGACATTTAGGCTGTACATGTCACTTTCAGATCACACAGAGAAGAGACGAGTGTGAGCCTTGCACAACGCCGACTCAGATGTCTCAGATAGAAGCCTCCAATTCAGGAGAAAGGCAAGAGCTAGCTGTGGTCTCTAAAAGAACTAAGGCAAAAGCACATTCTAGTTTGGTTTTCATCATATTGAAGGGATAAAGGTATTAATTAAATGTCATTGGCAGGTGGGAGTTCTGATACTTTCACACTATAATGGGGATATTGGGCAACTGTGCTCTGAGCTTTCTATCATGAAATGTTTTTTTTTTTTCCACTTGGTGTACTTGTATTTGCAAAGTTCCTGAGTGCCACACTGATTGTTTTAATGTCAGTTCTCCTGGATGGTTTATATTATCCCCTTATTTTGGGGTAGAGGTACGAGGCCCAGACAAAGGAACCATTTAGGATTACAGGGTGGTGGAATTTTAGGGCTTTCAAAGACTGTGGAGATCATCTAGTTAACTAACCCCTATTACAGATTGAGACAGTGAAGCTCAGAATAGCAAGTTATTTACTTAAGACCATGCAGCTGGTTAGTAATAAGAGCCTAGGCTTGAATTTAGTCCTAAAACTTCCCAGATAGTTTATATTGAAGTTCTTCCATTTTTTTAGTTGAATGGCCTTGACTAAGTCTTTTAACTTCTTTGAGCTTTCATTTCTTCTTTTGTGAGGAAGGGTAATAACGATAAATACAATAATTCATAGGGTTGCATGAAGACTCAAATAGGATAGTGAATGGGGAAGCATTTTGTAAACACTTTATACAATTCTGTTAAAACTTTAGGTATTATTATTGTCTGAAGTAATTCAGCAAAATAGTAGAGAGTCAACAAATAAAACTCAAATAAAAGAAACAACTGGATTTTTAGAATTGGAAAGGACCCTTAGGTTAATAACCAAGTAACTGAAGACTTCATTACAAGTCTTATTATTAAATCAAGGAATCTTTTTAAATGTGCATTTGTAAACTGACTTTCTATGAAAATAGAAAAATTTTCATCATCTCCGAAAGAGGACGTTCCATCAGGGGCCTAGATATTCTCAAGACTGATCCACAATCCAGTTTATTAAAAATGGCATGAAACTATTTGGTTGAGCTGATCCACAATCCAGTTTATTAAAAATGACATGAAACTATTTGGTTGAGCTGCCCAGCTTCATTCTTGCATGACTGGATGAGTCATACGATTTCACTTTCTTTTTAGGGGTTGCAGGCTAAATGGGGAAAAAGGCTGTGGCAGGGCTTAGGGTTAACCTGGAATAGATACTAGGCCTCAGATCCAGTATCCAATAGCCAAGACATTCTAAGGCCAAAGTGAACGTAACCAACTTCTCCTTTCTAGATTTGCTCTTCTCATTATTGTGAGAGATGAGGAGGCAGACATTGCAATATGTGGCTTGCAAGAAAATGCTTTTATTCCCTTGCACTGCTGTTAAGCAAAGCACATGGAGTCAAGATGGGTAGGAGGGAGAGCAGGTGGCAGCAGAGAAATCTGGGCGAGGCTGACTTTTTCTTCAGATTGAGTAGGGTTTTGATGGTCCGATGATTTCTGAAAACTATTGGCAAGGTCAGGTTAGGTAATGGAGAAAATTTTTTTTTTTAATCACCAAAGCCGGCAGAGAAACGCCCTTTAACATCCCCTCCATTGCTCCCGTGCATGTTCAGCACTACAGATCGGACATTTCGAAGGGCGATTGACATGAGAGAGGTGACAATGCATTCCCACTCTTCCTGTCCTCTTTTAAGATCCTGTATTCCACTGACTTCCCCAGTAAAGGCACTTCCACTGTTAATAATTTAAATAATGAAGTAGGCTCAGAAAGAAGCAGCACCGTGAAACAGACAGAGCTGTGTGGAATAGAGTCCATAAATCCGTGACAACATAAGGCTGAATTTTGGAGCAACTACATGGCTGATGCGCTTGCTCTGGCCCATATGAGGGGACTTGGGCCCCCTTGAATAAGGCTGCAGCCCAGGCTGCCTCTTCCCAACTGAGGAAGGGGCACGCTTCCCGATGGCAGCACCTCCCTGGGTGAGGCGCATTTTCATTGCATGTCGGGGAGATTGCTGCAGCCCTGCCCGCTGCATCTGCCCTGTGCAGCTGACCTGCGTTACAGCTCTGATGACGCTTGTCACTGAAAAGAGGTTTCAGCCTCAGGAATCGCCTTAAAGAGGCCTTTTAATTCCTCCTGGGAACTCTACCTGCACCTTGGGATTGTGGAGGGGTCACCTCTGTTCTGACAGCTGAGGAGAGTGAGCATCTGCCATTCAGTTCCTCCTCCCATCTTTTCGTTAACCCCTTCCTCTTTAGGAAATAATGCACTTATCGCTTATTACAAATACGTTACAGAAACAGTAACAAACAACAAAGCAAAACAAACCCAAGTCAGAAAACTTACATGAAAGAACAAAATCATCCAGCACTTTATCATTAATTGTGTTATAAATTCTGCTTCTCAATATAGTAGTTTCTTATGACTTTTTTTGTGTGTGAGGAAGATTAGCCCTGAGCTAACATCTGTGCCAATCTCCCTCTACTTCATATGTGGGATGCTTCGACAGCATGGCTGATGAGTGGAGTCGGTCTGTGCCGGGGATCTGAACCTGCAAACCCCGGGCTGCTGAAGTGGAGCACAGGGAACTTTAAGCACTCGGCCACAGGGCTGGCCCTTGTTATAACTTTTTAACTTGTGGATGTATGTCCTCAGGCCCAGCTCTCTTTTCCAAGTTCTTTTCTTTTTAAAAAAATTATTTTACACCTTCATGGTTTTATCCACCCCACCCCCTGCCTCTGGCAACTACCCATCTGTTCTCTGTATCTATGTGGTTTTTTTTTTTTAAGGCTCCATGTATAAATGAGACCATATGGTATTTGTCTTTCTCTGACTTATTTCACTTAACATTATGCCCTCAAGATCCATTCATGTTGCTGCAAATGGCAGGATTTCCTTCTTTTTTATAGCTGAATAGTATTCCATTGTATATATATACACCACATCTTCTTTATTAATCCATTAACAGACAGGTTGTTTCCATGTCTTGGCTATTGTCAGTAATGCTGCAGTGAACGTGGGAGTACAGATGTCTCTTTGAGATCTTGATTTCATTTCCTTTGGATATGTATACCCAGAAGTGGGATTGCTGGATTTTATGGTAGTTCTATTTTTAATTTTTTGAGTAACCTCCATACTGTTTTCCATAGTGGTTGCACCGATTTACATTCTTATCAACAATGTACAAGTGTTCCCTTTTCTCCAGTCCTCACCAACATCTGTTATCTCTTGTCTTTTTGATAACAGCCATTCTAACAGGTGTGAGGGGATATCTCATTGTGGCTTTGATTTGCATTTCTCTGATGATTAGTAATGTTGAGTGCATTCTCATTTACCTGTTGGCCATTTGTATGTCTTCTTGGAGACTCTTTTCTAGCAGGTTCTTCTCTAAGGCTGCTTAGAATGCTGGGTTATTGCCCTTGTAGGTTGTATACTCTGAATACTATATGCTCCTTTCTAGCTCTTCATTCTTCTTTCTCTTCTAAGCTGTTTCTCTGACTTTCTGGAGACCCAAGCCAGTGTATCCTTCACTCCTCTTTAAACTAATATGTTTAAATGGCTGCATGTCACATAACCAAGGGCATCTGCTTTGAGCTCTTCTTAAATCTCTTGTCCAGGCTACTCCCATCCAGGTACACTACCTTCAAGTTCATTCAGTTCAATCCAATTCAACTGACATTTATTGAATGCCCACAAGTTGTAAAGCCTTAGGCTAGATACTGGGACTCTGTGTCTGTCTGTGTCTCTCTTTCTCGCTTTCTATCCTTTTATACATCTTCTGTCTACCTAGAGCATAATATATAAGAAGTCCTTACTTATAGAAGCTTATAGACTGGTTTCTTAGCATGTCCAACTTTTCTTCTTTCTGATATTTAGAACTGTTCACCAACAACAATAACAAACAGCAATAAAACAGGAATCTCAACCATTCACCATTATTTTCTCTAGCAAAATGGGATGAATGAAATTCAACAGGTTCCTTACAGCATTCATTTCTGGATTATTCTCCCAAAGGAGAAGTCATTTCATTCTGATAATAAAAATACACTCATAATCCAAGGATATGGTTTTAACCATTTCCCCCCTTCTTCTTCTGAAGTTTGTATCATGGAGTGTTCTTGAGAAGCAAACTGAACTGTTTTCAATGTGCACATCCCTTCCTGCCCCAGCCTGTCTCCTAACAGAAAGATTAATATTGAGAGGTAGGGTGACTGACTGTGATGTCCGACCATGGGCATTAAACTGTGGCTTTGAACCCTGGATCTTCCATTACTTGGATTGTGATTTGGAGCAAGTTATAGTCTTTGCATGTAAAATGGTGATGAAAATAGTACCAAATTCATAGAGATGGTTGGAATGATTAAATTGAATGAAATAATACATGTAATTTAGCATAGTGCCTGATGAAATGCCTACTTGAAAGGTATGTTGGAAAGAAAATGAGATGCTAGAGTCCTGAGTGGGTGGGTGAGACATCTTACTTTAGAAAGTGGATAGTTTTTAGCAGCATTTAACAGGTTATATTGGTGCCATTAGTTTGATGGTTATAGATATTTCCAAAACATATATCTGCATTTTTTCCTGAATTTGGATATCAATGTATCTGAATGCTCTTGGGCTGAGAAAAGAAAGGGGAGAGGGGGATCAGTCAAAGGGTATTGGTGGTCAGATGGACTTGTGTCACATTTGGGCAGAACAGATTTGTATAATAATGGAAGACTATGTATGCACATAATTCAGCTTTTGATACTCTTCTGTGATAACATCAGCACCTGCATCTTGAATGCCAGCCATCCCTGCTTCCTCACCTGAAGGTGCCCAATGGACATAACCACTTTCTTTCTGAATTCACAGTACTTATTTGTACCCATTACATTTTTCTTCACATCCTGCTTTCTATTACAGTTACTTTGCTCTTGTCGAATCCTTTCCTAGACGAGAAGCTCAGCACCATTTCCTCCATCCTTCTTGCACCATCACATGGTGGATGGAATTGGATGGAATGCTGCCATTCACTCAGGCAAGGCTCAAATCTGCTGACAGCATGATGGATTCCTTCTAGTCCAGAGCCAGTAAAACCCCAACAGAGGGTCAGGGCAATGCTGAAGCTGGAGGGCGCTTGGAGAGGTAGGTCGGGAGTGATTTCTCCTCTCAGTCTCACTTTCCAAAAGTGGCATCTTTCATTAGTGTTTAAAAGGTGTAACATTTTACGTGAAGGTTGTCAAGATGATGATGAAAAGGGAGAAGCAATGAGGAAGCCAAGGTCAGTGTGCTCAAAGTGTTGGGATGAGGCCTTGGACCTTACAGCAGGATGTCCCTGTGTGGCCCCTTCTATGTGTTCCCTCTCACGTCACTGGCCAGTGTTATAGGCTGAGAACTACCCCACCCCTGCCCCTAAGCTTACCCATCTTGTGAAAACCTGGCTGTGCCCCTGCATGAGGGCCAACCAGCTTTGCTCCATGTTTCTGTCTAAGCCCCCATGTACCCAGATGAACAAAAGCCATGGCCTCAGGACCTTTCAATGTCTGGCCCTGCTCCCACTCTAGTCTCTCTTTCTCTTACTGTGCTGTGATCACATGGGCTGCCTTGTTGTTCTTCAAATATGCTGATCATGTTCCTATCTCAGGGTCTTTGCACTTGCTGTTCCCTCTGCTCAGAATATTCTATTCCAGGTGTATGCATGGCTGATACACTCCCTCATTTCAATCAAGTCTCTCATTACATGTCACCTTCTCAGAGAGGCCTTCTCTGACCACCCAAGCTAAAGAAGTTTCCCTGTCACCCTCTGTTTCCTTACTGTGCTATACTTTTTTTCACACTCCACTGGATGTTATGTTACACATGCATTGATTATTGTCTGCCCCCCACCGCCCACTAGAGTGTAAACTCCTTGGGGTCAGGGACTTTGACTCTTTTGTCCATAGCTATATCCAACCCCACTAAGCAGTGCCCAGCACATCATAGGTGCTCAAAAAGTTTGTTGCATAAATGAATGAATAGAGTGACTTTTACCTCTCTCTCCATTCGTCCATCCAGTCAATGCACAGTGACTGACCACCTACAGTGTGTAAAGATGAAGGTATCCTAGTCCTTGCCTTCTAGGAGCTGACAGTCTTGAAAGGGAGATAGATACATAGACAGATACCAGATATTTAAACAGGTATTTATGAAAAAGTTTTACAGGTGCAATGATAGAGCTAGGGGTAGGGTATTTTCTCAAACACAATATCAGAGAAGCAGCAGATAATGTGCTGACATTAAGTATACTCACTTAAGAATTGAAGCCACAAATAGAAATATATGGGTATGTATGTGTGTTTAGTGTTTTGGCCTTATAAGATTTCATAGAGTTTAGAGAAGGACTCAAAATGGCTTTGCAGTGATGTTGCAGTATGTCAGAAAGGTGAAGAATTCACTTTCTTTCCCCCCAAATGAAATACAAGCAGCTGCATTTTTCCCAGGTGGGCCCAGACATTGTACAAGGCCCACATATTTTTCAATAAGAGACTCACATTTGCTGTGATGCTAGAAGCTTCCAATGGGCCTCTGAGGGTTGTAAATTATATGAAATAATTTTCCAGTTACTAAGCTGTTGTTTTTTAAAGGATGGAGAGGGGAGGGGTGATGATAAAGCTTTCCTTGGACCCTGAAATTACACCTTCTTTCAACCACATTCAATAAATCTTTTTGAACGTTGAATGTTTATTCTCTCAACAAACATTTACTGAGTATCAGCCATGTGAGGGGTGCCATGCTGGAACGTGGGGCCATCTTTGATTGGTGTAAAATCTGTAGATCCTTACTGGAAAAGCTGCTAGAAGTGGTGTAGCTCTTTGTTGTTGTTTGTTTTAGCATTTCTATTTTATTGCTGTGGTTTTATTACATCCTTGTTGTAGCAAGTCACATAATATAGAGGTATATAAATATGTGTGGAGAAAAAGTAACTAGTGTTCCACTCTTCCTCCTCATTCCTACTACCCCTTGTAATTAATCTTTTCAGTAATTTGGTGGATATCTTTCTATACCATTATCTTTGTACACACACACACACACACACACACACAGAGTTTCCCTTTATTTTACAAAAATAACATCACATGTATTACTCTGAAATGTACTTGTTAAACTTACTAATGTGTAATGAACATCTTTCTAAATCTTGTTCTTTTTAGTTTGTTTGTAATTTTCTGTAGAATAGGTATAACATAATGTAGCCACCCATTTTCCTATTCATAGACATTTAGATGACTCAAGATTTTTTCTATAATATTCGTTTTTTAAATAAACGTCCTCACACATGTTTTCTTATATATTCGTGCTTTTATTTCTGTTCATGGATTCTGATAATGTGATTATTACATCAAAAGGTAAATGACTTTTTACTGTTTAATGAGCACCACTTGATTACCTTCCAAAATATTGTAGCAATTCATATTTCCTTCAGAAATATACGGGAGTGCTTTTGTCTCAGATACAATGCCCAGCACGGGATGTCATCAATATTTTTAAGTTTTGTTGACAAGGATAATAATGGTACCTCAACAATGATACTTCATTGTTGCTTTAATTGATTTTACCTGGCTATCCTTGGGGTTGGCATCTTCCTTACATTTGTTGGACATTTGCTTTTCCTGTTCCTAAATTCCTGTCCAAGCCCTTTGCCTGTTTTTCTTTTTCTTATTGATTTATAGGAGCTCTTTGTGTATTAGAGATAATAATGCTTTGTTGGTCACATATTACAAGAATACAAGATATATCATCTTGCAGATATAAATACACGCTTATTTTTATGATTTCTGTCCTTTTTTGTCTTGCTTAGAAAACATCCCTCTTCGGCCTTTTGGATGTGGTGCTCACTAAAACTGTGAGCTTGATAAACTAGGGTCTTTGGGGCAGAGCAATGTACATGGGTGGTGCTTTGTGGTTCCAATGTGACATTTCAGGGTCTGGTGCTGCCATGTACTTCAGAGAAAGATGCCATGTGCTTTAGCATTTCCTTCCCACTCTTCTACTCGATTTTATCATAGATTTACCTGCTGACCATAGATCTCGTATCGTATCATCAATGCCTAGGATACTTCTGCTAGAAAATGTTTGGGATTCTCTGAACCACAAAGTGAGAATATTGAAAGTAGTGGTCATTAAAAGACAACTTAGCATTTCCTAACATCTCAAGGCCATTTCTCATCCTGGGAAACATCCATAGCAAAATACCAGTTTGGCATAGAGCCCACTAACTCACCTCTTCCCTGTGGAATTGTATCTGATTACCTTTGCTTTGTCTCTCTTTGGCCCTCTTCCCTGAAGGGGTCGTCAGAATTGCCTAATATCTCTGACCCTTTGGTGCATCATCCTGGGAGTTGGATTTTATACAGAATCAATTTAACTAAAATACGCCATTGGTTTTGCATCTAACGTATCATTAGGAAGTAGTTTCCATTGTCCTGGTCTTTGAGGACTTTAGCATGTCACCAGGGTAACTGAGTCATTTGTTCCCCTTGACAGGACTAATGTCCTGTCCTTCATAAACAAGGGTGACTTCAGAAGGACGCAGGCTTTTAGGTGAGCTGTTTTTCTGATGATGGGGTTGGATATGAATGTGTAGATTTTCATACACGTTTTCCCTGTCCTTGTGACTGAGCTATTAAGAGAAAGCCAGAAGGTCAGAGCTATAAGAAACTTTAGGCAAGACAACTGAGACAGAGAAAAGTAAAATGGACATGCTCAAGTCTCATAGCTCATTGATGTATACTAACAGTGTTTGTGGATTTATGACAACCACAGACACAACGATAACAGGATTTATATGTGGAGTCTGGTAAATAAAAGCGGGGTCAGATAGACCCAGCAGCATATGTATGACCAAATCAGAGGGACGCTGACCATTTCTAGAACTCTTAAAGGTAGTTTAGAGCAAGAACATCATCTGGACCTCTCTACCCATTTTTAGCTGTGGAAATGGAAACATAGGAAAATGAAGTGATGTGCCCCAAATTAGAGCAATCATTAGCAGCAGTGTGAAAGTTGAATTCATATGCCCTGATTTTCTGGTCTAGCCTCTCTATACTGCCTTATGTCCCTCCTGGTTGATGCGGTTAGTTGCAGGAGTAATTTTGTCAGTGAATAGTAAAGATTGAAGGCCAACTCTTTGCAGGGACCAGCATCTATTGGGGGACAGGATCTGTTGCCACACTCACATGTACCCCTTTAACCTGCCTCCCAGCTAAGAAGGATTATCTTATCTTGTTTATTCATTCAGGAAATAAGTATTGGCCATTGCTAGGGGCTCAATAAATATTTGTGGAATCATATTGAACTGATTTGAATTGTCAAGGTACCAGAAGTAGGGGCCTGAGCAAGTGGCTAAGATTGTGTTTTACCAGTGGGGATAAAAGATGCAGCCCACTGACAATAAACAAATCCCTTTTTAACAATTCCACTAAAAACATGCTATATAATTGAATATGAATACAAATAAAAGGCACCTGGTACAGCTTGTTCCAACTTCTCTTTTATTAGAATCTAAGTGGTAACATTCATTTCCAGGCAGTGTCACTAATGTTGGTTTTGTTCATTATTAGGAGACTGTAGTTATTGCACTCTGAAGGGAGAAGCCCTGGGTTTAAAACTGCCAGGGCTGGCAAGTGGCCGAAGAATGAGACACACTAGCTGATTGGCCTTTTATGGAGTCAGTGTGTCAGAAAGCATCTTCAGAAAGCAAAGTGTCCCTTCCCTGTGGCCTGCTTTCCCAGGGGAGAACGGTTACTTTTTCTCCTTCTGCTGTAGATGTAGCACGGACTTCAGCCCAGAAGATGCTGCCTGATTTCCGATCAGGTACCCGGGGGCAGCTGGAGGCAGGCAGCTCATGGATGACATGGTTGTGGTCATGTGAGATGTGAAGTCAGCTGAGAAAGCACCCGGGGCTGCAGTCCTGGAGGAGCCCTGATGTTTCATTATTTTGATTTTAACTGGCATGAATAGAATTTGTGGACAGTCTTCAGAACAGGGAGAAAGAGGAAGAAAAAGAAAAGAAGCAGACAATAAATTACAATAATAATTTGTGAGCCAATAAAGAGCTCACTTGCACCACCATCACAGCCCCTAGTAAGCATGTTCATGTGACTTATGAGGCTGTACTAATCCTCTCACTGATGATTTCTGCACTAAGTTTTTGCTGTTGTTGTTATTGTTGCAAATGTTTGGTAACGAAGGGCAAAAATCCATATTGGGTCTTGTGATTTTTTTAATAAGGAAAATGAAATTCTTTTCCCCTCCCACCTCCTTTACACATTAGCTGGGAGCAGTTTCAAAACCTGGAGACAGAAGATCCCCTTTGGAGTTTGTCCTTCCCCATTTTCTAATCTGCTGGAGAGGTTTCAAGGCAGAATGGTAGCCCAAATTGGGATTCTGTCCTGCATCCCTTTTCTTCCTGAGACAAAGGGAAGAGGTAACTTTCTCCCTTTGGGAAGAAAGACTCCTGTGTGGAGTCTTAACTTTCTCAAGGGGATCCACGGGAGCAACAGGTACATGAGGAGCCTGGGTACCAACTTCCCAAGCAAAATGAGCATCCTTTCTCCCTTCTCCATCTTTGTGAATGAGAATGCTCTCCCAAAGGGAAGGTCAAAGAAACCTGCCACAATTTCAGCTCTCTATCTAGATGCTTTAGAACCACACCCTAAATGCTTGATGTTTGCTCTCACAATATGGGCCTATTCAGGAATTCTTCTATGGGCTTTTACAGAAGATGTACCTCATTTTTACACTTGCATAGTATTTGACCATTTTTAACAACACTGTTATAGGTATTATATAATCATCATTTCAGCCCTTTGAAGTAGCTATTAGTCATCACATTTTTAAATAAAGAGACTGGGGGTCAGAGAGGCGGTATGTCTTGCAAGACTGCCTGAGTGGTGGGTGCAGATCCAAGACTCCTATAAGAAAAGACAAGCATTCCCACCTCTCCTGGTTGCCTCTGGAGTAGCACAGCATTTCCCATAGGTCCAGAGATGGGTGTGCTTCTGTATTCCACCACAAATTTTGAATAGACACATCAGATTCAGGGGAAGGTTTGAAGACATTTGGTGCCTGGAGCGCCTCCCTTTGGGGGGCATTGGTCAGAGGGAGAGTTTGCTTTATTCTAGGAATATATTTTTGATTACTTGATGTTAGCAGACCATTTGCAACTCAGACATCAGACAGGGTTTTAGTCTCCAAAAATCTCTAGATAAAATGTCTAAGCCCCCACCCCCTGCAAATATGTCCTATGAAGATATAATGCCCTTTATGATGCTTCTGCAGATTTCCAAAGGGCTTAAGCATCCTTGTGGTTACCTCTGGCCTCCAGGCTCCTGCTTCTGCTGAATCAGTTCATCTTGGAAATTGTCTTGATGCCCTTCTGTCATCTGTGGCATAGAATACAGCTGAGAAGCTCGCCATCTTCTAATTTCCTTTAGACAAACCACTCACGCGGGGGTGTGTGTGTGTGTGTGTGTGTGCACTTGTGCATGTGTATAGAAGACTACTGAAGTTTGGTAGGGCAGGAACAGTTAAGTATCACCATCTGGCCCCCTTTTCAACTCAGGTTCCCATTTCCTATGTTTTTGCAGAACTCTCTTCCCTCCTCCTTTCTTCTTTCCTCACTCGCTTCCCCCTCCCCCCTTCCCAACTCCGGCCCTTTTAAATGCATTTCAGTTTAGCTACTTTATTTTCTTCTGACACATGCCCTCAAGTTCTCACCTTCCCCCTAAGCACCTTATCAAAGGTATTTTTCTTAAAAAGAAGATTCCCTCCCTAAGAGGAATTCTGATGCCAGCTGAGGCCATGTTTTCCAACCTACTACATAAATGATCATTAAAACGACAAACTAGAGAACCCAGTCTTGGATGTCCAATTGGTCTCAACATTTTAGTAGTGATTACAGTGATATTAATACCTTACAGTTATGGAAAGTTTTCAAGTTTTCAGAATTCTCTACCTCTACATTAGCATATTTTATCTATTATGCTAATTCCTATTATGCTAATTTTCAGATGTTGAAACTGAGCGTCATAAATAGCCAGGAAGAGAGCACAGGCTCCCTGACTTTTCCAGAGCTTTCTCCATCATATCAGTGTAGGAATAATTCTATTCTAGTCCATACCTCTGCATTGGTTGGATTCTGTGTTTCATTGTCACACAATGCATCAGGCTTGAAAATGTCAGCCATTTTTTATTTATATTTGCCGCTAGCCTCCCTGGGCCTTAAACTCTGAGGAACTGACTTTCTGCTTTTTTTTTTGATGAGGAAGATTAGACCTGAGCTAACATCCATTGCCAATCTTCCTCTGTTTTGGCTTGAGGAATACTAGCCCTGAGCTAACATCTGTGCTAGTCTTCCTCTACTGTGTATGTGGAATGCCTCCACAGCATCACTGACAGCTGGAGTAGGTCCAAGCCCAGGATCCAAGTTTGCAAGCCTGGACCACGGAAGTGGAGCATGTGGAACTTTAACCACTTGGCCATGGGGCCCGACCCCTGACTTTCTGCTTTCTGACGTAAATATTCAACCAGCAGCCTCAGGTGGGCCTCTGGTTCCCTAGCCTTTGTCACTTTCTGGAGTTCCAGAAACACTGTTCAGTGAAGGCTGTGGCCTTGTAGGGCAGGTCATGAGGGCACGTCAAATGCATGATCTGGTTCTTTAAAATTTGACTACTTCTCTCTCTCCACTGGCTGCTTCAGCCGGCCTGCATAGACAGTGGTTTCTATGTAACATTTCTTCAACCAGGAAACTCTTCATCAGACAGGATCAAGGACATATTACAGGTCCAGCAAGACAAGGGTTAAAATTATTTTACCCACAGAATTTCACGAATAAGCAGTAAGCCAGTTTTTGGTCCTCTTTGCCATCTCTTTATGTAGTTGTCTACACTCTCTCTCCCAAGAATGCATTATCTGGACCATTATGGAACCCATGAACAGAGGTGCTGTGACCTCTGGCTGACCTTGGCCTGCTGATGTGCTGCCATGCACTCCAATTACTAGGATATGTAGAGGTGACCACAGCCTTCCAAGACCCTTGAAAGTTTATAGCTGTGTCAGGTCCTTACCTCTTTTCAATGGTATCGGGCAACTTCTAGATCCTGCCGGCATTTCTCTTCCCGTGTGACATGTATGCTTGTTCTGAAATGAAGGCGACAGAGCTGTGGTTGGTCTCTCTTATTGGAAAACTGTAATTTTCCACTGCCTGGGCTGTTTTCCTTGGATGATGGGCTGTAAGAAGGAACAGTGAGAATAGGAGGAGATTGGTTAATTTCTTTGCTTACAGCAATATTGTTTTTTTATATTGTAGGGACATCTAGAGTTTTGTTAACTTGTTACTTCCAAGTCTCTCTGCTTGTCTTTTAGATCTCATCCTCATCCCTAAATTGACAATGACTATGCAAAACCTTTAATGGTTTGGGAATATTTTGTAGTTGTTGCTCTTTTTTTTCTGAGCATGGATAATAAAGAAAAAATATTGCTATTCTTTGCATTCTAGAGGCAAAAGAAAATTAGATACCTGTTATATAATATGCTCATGACATTATATAACGTGTCTTTCTGGAAATAATGCTCCAAGCTGTTCTGTTCTCCATTTGCTGTGATTCATGCAAGGACTGTATGTTACACTTGTTTATTTACCAAACTCGGAGATAAATTAGGTTGAACCCTATGAATTTGCCGATTTTGTAGATCAAAAACATTCAAATATTGGCAGTTTCAGAGGGTCCAGCCTGTATCAGCATCACAAGGCAAACCTGATGAGAAGCAGGAGAGGTCATCTGGTCCATCTCCCTGTCCACAGGCAGGCTTGCACTTCAATCATATTCAGAAGAATCTCTTAACTCACACTTTTTAACATTTGTTTTCAAAGAATGAAATTCCTAATGGAGTTCTGGGTTAGTTAAGGGATTAATTATCAATATCAAACAGGGGACGGGTCATTCTGGAAGCTCAGCAGAAGTGGCAGTGACCTCTGCTCTTTAAGATCTTACAGGACACCTCGCACATCGTGTCAGCCTTGGTAGGCGTGATTGAGGTTTTAATAACATTGAAAGATTCTCTGTTCCTTTTACCTCTCACCAACCAGGTCTGCATTTCCATGCTCATCAAACACCTGTGCAGACTGTCTCTGATTTGCAACTTGCTTCAGATTGTGTCTCAGATCTTAACCCCGGATGTGACAATATAAGCTCAACAGACTGCCTTGGCCACCTTAGCAGGTGGGTCCTCAAAACGAAGAGAAGGAAACTGCTTACTTAAGCAATGAGATTTCCAGATAAAGCAAAGTCGTGGGGATGGTCTCTGGACTCTGGGTAGAGTTTTCCGGGTGTAGCAAAGCCAGATGCTCAAGATGTCTTCTCTTCCTCCCAGACTCCTCACTGCGGTCAGAGCCTGCAGCCTCTCCCTACTCCCACTGGTCCTTGGCCAGCAGCTCCTGACACCCAGAGGATTCAGCTTGGGGTATGTGTTCACTCGAGCCAGTGCTTATTCCAAGCATTGAGCTTGCTCTTCACTGGACTTACTCTTCTGTTGCCAGTAAAAATGTAGCCACTCAGTCCTGGGTGTGTTTGTAACAGCATGGGAAAGCAAGAGTTTTAGATACTGGATATTTTTTGTGACGAAGAGCATGGAGGCAGCCTCTCTTCATTTGCCTAGGAACTGAACTCAGAACCTTTGTACTCCATGACATTATTCCGACATGAAAGGCACAAGGTCTGGATGTGGGATGTTCGATCACAGAAATTTCTGTGCAATATATTAACTCTGTTTAAATGAGATAAAAGTACCCAGTAAGGTTCTTGGCCCTTCACAGACTTCTGCCGGATGCAGAAAGGGTATAGAATCATTGGCTAAAGAGGAAAGATGAGAAGCTTTCGGGTCAGAAGGCTTGGGTTCAGCTCATATATCCGGCCACTTGTATGTGTCTGACCTTAGACAGGCCACTCTCTCAGAGCCTCAGTTCCCATTCGCAAAGTGGGATCCCTGCACCTCCTAGGATTGACCTGTGGTCTTAAAATGCAATCATGGGAGTGAGAACACTTTGAATCAAGGATGATACAACCTAAAGGTGTTGGGTGTCTTTCACCCTCCAGGTCTGATTCTTCTTAGGCCTCAGATGTCTCTGCATGATTGGAGAAAGGGTTGGGCTAGGAGGCCTCAGAAGTGGATGTTTCTTAAAATTGATGAGCAGCTCTGAGTCCCCACCAGTTTCTTCCCCAGCCATCAGGAAACAGCTGTGGGGTTGAAGGGCTGAGAGGAGCTCAAGGGCGGCTGGGGGCCCCGTTACTGAAGACACTGCTTCTCATCCAGCCCTGGATCCCCACCCTCCTGCAGCTTGCTGTTAATGAGGGAGCTTGGTCCAAATGCAGCTTTCTGGGGTCTGATGAAAACTGTAGCCTACTTAAATCACTTTCCTGTGGCCTTTAACCTAAAAAGATTACATTTCAGGGCGAGGGGGAGGTGGGTGAGCAGCAGAACCAGCCTGCTGTCAGAGAACAAAATCAAATTTTTTATGTGATGTTGCTGCATTAAAAAGGCCAATCTTGTGTCATGTAACATGTGAATAATGGCTCTAGCATGTGATGTCAAAATTTTCCACACGTCTCATAAATAAATCCAGCCACACCCCCTCCCCCCAACCACCACCCAAAGGCTATCCGTTTTTGAACCTCAGCTTGCATCCCAAATTAAGAATGCGTTCAGATTCAAGGTTAAAGGTACAGTATCCCCTTTCAAAAGGCACATGTCAGTGTTTCTGCTGAGAATGATAAATAGCATTTGAAACAGGCTATCAATTGTCAAGACTCTTCCTCCTCCTCTTCCTCTTCCTCTTCTTTTTCACCTAACTTTGCTGAAGGTCTGATCCTTTGGAAAGAATAGATGCTGTATTAGCCCAAGACTTGATGAAATTTTCTTTAAAGAAAACCACTTAAGTGAGATCCCTAGGGGAAAAAAAATCACACAAATAGTCCAGTGGCCCTCAAGAGTGAAGAAGCTAGATACAGCACAGCTGCAATTAGTATCAGCAGCATAGCCAAGCCAAGGGCTTTTTACTGCAAGAAGAATATATTCATTTGAGACCTGTCCGCTTGCATGGAGATGCCAGGCACAGATACTGACATTACTCCAAAAATCTAGAATGTTGATGTTTGCCAAGGAGATTCTGCCTTCTCATTATCTATTGTGACTGATATAGGTGACTTTCAGAAATAAGAATCCAGAGCATCCTTGGGTCCCACATACCCATTATTGCTCCCTTTCTTTTAATGTTAAAAGACTGGTTAATGGTCAACATACAGGGATACTTTTTTCGACAAAATCCAGCGTTATGGAAAGCTCCTTGCTGAAGGAAAGCTGCTTCTTTATTCTCCCTAAAGGACAGAATGCTTTTTTGTTTTTCCAGTTTCCAGAGGGTCAGGAGGAGGAAATAGGCAGGAGCGTGATGGCCGAGAACCAGAGAAGAACAGGAGGGGAATTTGGCTTAATTTCATAGAGGCTCAAGTCCCCCTGTCTGCTCACTCTGTCCCTCCCCTCTCTCCCTACCTCGCAAACAAAGGCAGCATCTTTCTCAGATAATGCCGCGTGTGTCAGAAGCGAACGTTCTGGGAATGTACATGGTGACCTGCTCTGTGTAACAAACGTCAACCCCAAACCATACAGAAGTCGCTACATCTGTTTTGGCTTTGTTCGCAGCACAGAGGGGAGGGGGGTGCACTCCATGGTCAAGGGCCAAACTACATGTCATATTTCATTACCTTCATTAGCTACTACAGAAGGCTGCATTCAAAGAAAAGGTTGGTATTAACTCTTGAGCCGCCAGCCTTTTCTAACAACCATTTTCACCTTCACCCATTGCTTGCCGATCTCCATTCGTTCATGCTGTGGGCTCTGATTTAACTAAACTGTAAATCAGCCCTGAGGTCCACAATTTCACCTTCTTAACTTAAAGGAGGCAAGCTACTGTTTTATCCTAGGTAGCTACTTACAGGACGGCTGAACATCTGGAATCTATTAGGACAAATGCTAGTGTGTAAACCCAATGGGGAAAGCGTATTTAGAATTAATAAAACTTTCCCTTCTTATTTTGTCCACAGTTGTCTTTTTCTTTTCCCCCTCACATTATTTCTGTGATTTAGTATTGCCAGCTCCTTTCTTGGTTGCTTTAGTGAGATAAGATGATGCTTATTGCTGCCTAGCTATTTTTGGAGAATTTTTCTTGATATATTTTCTTGTGATGACATAAAACACACATGGCTACCACCCCTGGAAATAAGAGCCCATTTCCCCATATTCATTAAGGTATACTTTACAATTACTGAAATAAAAGTAGGTGAATGTATAAAGTAGATCTTTATGCCGTATGGCTATAAAAATGGTCAGTTTGCATGCTGCATATTGAATACATCATGATTCTATTTAAAATCATCTGTGGCCAGCACATGCTGGTATTTAATATTATGAAGAATGACCAATTGGCCAGCATAGGTCAGAACACACCTGGACTGTGGAATTAGGAGTCTGGAATTTTGATTCGTCGTCCTGGCTCTGCTATTGATTTATTGCCTGGTATTAGACAAAGCTCTTGCCCGTAATTCTCCCATCTGTAAACTACGGAGCATTATACCGTCACAAAGGTTCTGCGAGCTCCAATGACTTCCTTTTAACATACTTTGAAAAGCCCTGAGAAGACAATACTTTGGAATACTACTCCATTAAGAATACTATACCATCATCCATTTATTGTCATTAATACACATTTGAAAGCTCTACACCAGTGGTTCTCAAGTTTGGTCCCCAGGCCAGCAGCCTCAGCAGTGGCTGGGAGCTTGTTAGAAATGCACATTATTGGCTGAGGACCTGCAGAATCAGAAACTCTGGTAGTGGGGTAATTCTGGTGCACACTTAAGTTTGAGTAGCACTGATCAGTACATTTGGCTTCAAGTCCCGGAGTTAAACCCACAAAGCTCTATCAGCCCAAGCAGATGTTGGAGTGGAAGCTCAGCTCAACCAGGATTAAAATGTGTTACCTAAAAGCAACTCGAGACTTGTAAGGAATGTGGGCCCTCTCCAGTTCTGACTTGTGGACAATGCCAATGCAAGATTGTTTTTCTGGTTTTGAAATGAGTTTTATAATTTGTGCTGAACATTACTGGCACACTAAACTCAATAGCCCCCTTTGTAAACTGGGTGTGTCTAATGACATCTTGGATACAATTTAACTTGTGAGGAATATAAACTTAGGAAGATTGGCAACCACCACTGGAATATGGCCATCAAGCTTAGATTTGGGACTCAAGTGTACACAGAGGCAGAACAATGCCAGAGAAAAAGGCATCTAGAACTCTCGAGTTGAGACACTAACATGGAGCTACCTACTTTGCAGATTGTACCCTTTGAAGTAGAAAGAGCGGAGGGATGACAGAAAATAATGTTCAAGGTCAGAAATGCTGAGCTCTCTGTGGCTGAGTCACATGTGTCCATCCCTCATGTTTTACAGGAGTTGTTGTAAAATAAAAACGAACCACAGAACGGACACCTGGATATGTGATCTAGTTTTGTAACTCAGTAGCAATGTATAAATTGCAACTGCGGCAGTATATGCTGCAAGTTGGCTTTCAGTGTGTATCTCTATCTAGTGCTACCTTGTGCCTATAATGACTATTTTCACAATAGAATAAAAATTTATACTCCCTTTCTCCATCTCCTTTTGGTGTTTCAGGTTTCCATAAGATCCAGGACACTTTCTAAATTTGAGAGAAGGGCCGGCAATGATGGCAATTTTTTGTTCCCATTTTTATCCTCAGACCAGCCAACTCGATTATCCCTCCTCTAAATATGTCCCAAAGTTTGGTCCTACAATGAGACCTTTTGCATGGCAAGTTTCAGCCTGGAGCAAATTTTTATGGCTGAATTATAAACCCTTGAAAATAAGGGTTTATAATGGAAATGCTGACACAACCTTAACTCTGGCGGCGAGAGTGCAATGCGATAATAAATGAGGCAGAACAGCAAAGTGCTGCTTTTAATTTATCATTTAGTAGGAGAAAAAGGCCTTGTTTACTTCTTCTTTTTCATCTTCTTCTCTGCTTCCAAGACTTGCAACCATTATTTTGAAATGTATTTTATAATAAAACCTCAGTGGTTATGTTGCCTAGGGCCTGAGTGTCCATTTTAGAAAGGGAGAAAGAGAGAAAGAGAGAGAGAGAGAAATTTTTGAGGCCTAAGAAGCATATTCTGTTGACTGATTATGTTTTGACTGCACAGTTGCTGCCCGGCTGGCAGTGCATTTATTATGGAACAGATCGGCTGCTCAGCTATGATCCAAAAGCACCCCAAACATATGATCCTATTTGGACGTGTCTATAATAGTGGCAGTAAAAATAATAATAATATCTGATATGGCTTCTAGTGCTTTTTATTCCAGACATCGGTGTATTTTAAGCACACAGATTATAGCCTTT